AAGAGAGAAGGAAGAGAGTGGCCGACTTCTTCTTCCTTCTTCCTTGGCACTCCAAGCATCGCAATGCATTTGCTTCTCGTATCTTTACGATACTTAACTATGTACTACGTTCCGGTTTTCTCGGTCATGGCTACGGGAACGAAACATCTTATAAGATTCTTCCTCCTTTAAATAAAGTGATCAATTCGTAATGGAACGACCTTAAATACTACATCTACCATCTGCCGTTTTTATCAATGAGTATAAATTTTATAAATGAAAAATAAACGTATAAACGAAAACGCGAGCATCATAATATTATTACTTTTCTTTTTTTTTTTTTTTAATTTAATTTAATTTATATAAGAAAAATACAATCTAATAACATGAATTGAATTGTGGAAAATTTTAACTGAAAAACTTTTTATACAATTTAATTCGATGAAAAGATTGATTGCCCATTTAGATTTGTTTGCGATGATAATATTTGAAATAGAAAACAATATCTTTTTTAGCTTTAGGGAAGAAAAGTAAAAACAGTCATGGAGAAACGATCATGAGTATTAAACGTTTTGCGTGGCGGATAGAGAATGTTTAGAGAAAAAGTGGAAACGTGGCTCCGAAGGCTCGACTTAGAGGGGAACGAATCTTCTTCTTCTTCTTCTTCTTCATCTTTCTCTTTCTGATCCACCACCATCACCAGGTAGGTACACCTCCACCACCATCATCACCACCTCTACCTTCCGCTAACGTAAGAATGAGAGTTGAAGCTCGCGAGTTTTGCGCCGTTGGAAGAAGAGATCAGTTGTAGCCCATTCGACGAAGTTGCTTTATTTTTGACCTCGAAAGGAACAACGTTGTTCCAACGAGGTGTTTACATTCAATTATTCGATTAATTATTTCTATTAAATTAATATCTTTAATAATTATCATCGCGAGTGTATGTAATAGTGAGAAGGAAAATCGATTTATCGAAAAATACACAAAATTCGAAGCGATGAGAGTACGACGATCTTTTCTCGTTTTGGTAAGGAATTAATTTTAATATCATAGAAAAAATATTTATTAACATGAAGATACGTGTATAGGGTTATTAATTTATATAATATAATCATTTCGTATATAACTCTTGTAAAATAAAAAATAATCTTTTTCTGACGGAAATAATGACGGAAGCGAGGTTGTGCCGTGACGAAACGACTTTAAATAGTAACAATTTTCCACTGGTCGAATCGATTAACTAACTAAAGGTAACAAATTGCTAAAGGGTTGAACGTCCTTATGGATTCGCACTTGTCTCGGTCGACTTTATCTCAGTAAAGTGGAACAACCTTTACCGTGGCCTTGATCCGAGTAAGCCGGTAGAACGAGGAAAAGTAATAGAACGTTCGTTTACGCCGGAATACCGAGTTCCCTCTCAGGAGAAAGGTTCATTAACGTCATCTGCATAATACTTCTCTCTTATTCTCAGCTAATAAAAGAGAAAGATTGATACGTCATTTCAAAATGGCAATTACAGCTAATAAAAAAAAAAAAAAGGAAGATAAAATAAAATAAAATAAAATAAAATAAGAAGGAAAAACAAAGAAGGATGAGAGATTCGTTGGAATGATGATGATCATCGAAATGATTTCAGTGAAATCGTCGACCTCTCCACATTTTTCTTTTTTTTTAAGTGAAACTTCTTAGGCGACGATAAAAATACAATTTTATGAAACAACGTGAAAAGAAAGAAATAATAGAGATAGGAAGAGAGTTAGATAAAATTCATAATCGAACGACAATTGGACGGGATTATGGAAGGTTCTAGTGTTAGTAGTGGTGTGCACGTGTGTGTGTGTGTGTGTGTGTGTGTGTGATTAGATACATCGATCGATAATTATTGCGAGATGCGTTTATTTATGGAAGAATGGATGGGGATATAACATACTTTGAAAATATTCGACACATACCTTAAATGATTGTTAATAATTAATGGAAGGAAATATATATTGTATTTTAAAAGCACGGAATATAAATTCGATGTACCGTCTTCTTCGAAATCCACCGTTAGACTAGCACATTGTCTTCTATGAAAGTCAGTTAAAATTTCTTTTACTGATTCTTATTTATATAACCTCTTTGATAAAATAAATTTTATTTATGACGAATATTATTTTCGTTTTATTCGGTTATTTATTTCTAATTCGTTACTCTCAACTTACTATATTAATAGTTTTCAAGGAAAAATCTAGTAAGCGTAACGGTGTACAATTTTTAGGAACACCCACTGTATATATGAATCAATTGATTATTTTTCACATGATAATACGAGTTTCAATTCTATCACGCGTGGATGCAACGTATATACTTCGTTTCTTATCTTTCCTTCTTTTTTTTTCCTTTTGTCTTGCACAGATGCACGCGCTTACTGGGTCAACGTCGATTATAAACGTGTAGAACAAGATGAAAAATAGCTTCGTGGAGATAGAGAATTTCCTCTTTTATGGCGATTTCTCAAAGTATAATAAACGTTAACTTATTGTATATTAGTTTATACGGTTCTTATTTTCTACCGCTAAATGTTAATCGTGAATGTACTCGATAAGATAGATAGCTGTTACAGCTTTAGTATAGCACTTTGCGTAGGAGCCTATTTAGAACGATAAGGCGAGAAACTTACGAGAAAACCTGTTATATTCGAGAATGAAAGAGAAAGAAAAGCAAATAAATAGAAATACGTGGGTAGAAGTGAATATAGGTGAACTGGATATTTCGAGATACAATTTTTAAATGTTAAAAATGACGAATTCATTTTTTTCTTGATATTTAGAACAATGTAACGAGAAATTTACACGAGAGAACCAGTTATATTCGAGAGTGAAAGAGAGAAATACGTAGGCAAAACATAATATAAGTGAACAGACTATTTTCAGGTACAATACTTACATGCAAAAATGACGAAAGTATTTTATCTAGATATTTAGAAACAATAGGATCAGAAATTTATACGAGAACTTGCCATACTCGATAAAGAAAGAGGTCACTGGGTGATATTGAATATATAGGTGAACAGGACATTTTGAATTCTAATACTTCTATATAATTATAACGCGCTCGCGAATGAATTATATCTAGTTATTTAAAATAATAAGGAAATAAACATTAATGATAATCTATTGTACTCAAAAAAAAAAAAGAAAAAATGATAGAAATAAACATATGTAAGAAACTAAATTTAAGTGAAAACAGGACACATTTTGAGATTCAATTGTTCTAAAAAAAAATATCAAATGTGAATTTTATTTAATTATTTAAAGCATTATATTATATCGCAAAATTGAAGTGACAATCTATGTTGTACTCAAAATAAATATAGATATAGAAACTGAATATAAGTGAAAAGAGGACATTTTGTGGTCGAGTATTAGGCCTAACTTTAAAAAATTAGTTCTAACTCAAATACAGTTAGCTTAAAGAACTAAAAGAGAATCTAAATGGGAACTCTTTCGCAGTGAGTAAGATCTTATAACAGAAAACTTGGATAATCAGTTGTTATTGTTGAGCTTCCTCGGGAAGAAAAGATAATCTTTTAGTTGGAAAACTAGTGGAAACTAATGCTATATAACCCGAGCTTCCTCTTACTGATAATTCTTACGTCTCCAGCGTAATCCTATCTTGCACACGCGCTACAATTGTTTCTTCTCGAGGAAGTTGCATTGCCTTCTTTAACTATGCCTCGAAATCATTTCTTAATTAAAACTCTGCCTATTCAATTTTTTTTGTTTTTCTTTCCCTTCCTACCTTTTCTTCTTTTTTTCTTATTTATATTCCCGAAGTACGCGTGTCATATAATATCAATTCTTAAACAGTCTCTCACATTTGATTTTACCGATATTTTTCTCCGTTTACAATGAAATATTTGTTATCATTATAACATCTTGTTCTAATATTATCAATTTTATTTGAAAATATATTATAATAAATCAAGTAATTTTTTTTAAATTTTTAATTAATTGTTTACTTGTGTATTTTTGTAAAAGTTTTCATACTTATAAATGACATGCCTTATAACTATTTATTGTCGCGAAAAAAATTCCAAGTAGGAACGTTTAATTTATATGATTTTCATACGATTTAAAATAATCAAGATTTTCATTCTAAAGATTTGAATATACAATCGATATATCTCGGTAATGATATTTTCTAATGCCGTACTTTCACGCGCACATATCAAACGTATCTAGAATTCCAGGCTGTCTGAAGAATCTTACTCGGCACGCGTACGTTCGGGATAATAAACGATTTTACTCGTAGAGATCTGTTAAAAGGTAAAAGAGAAGAACTAAAGTAACATTGCTTTCCGTTTCACTCTCTAGACGGTTGTACTACTATTCTCGTTTAACGTCGACTCGAAGGAAGATCGGAAAAACGATGGAGTCGACGAGGAGAAGAACTCGACGAAAAAGGACATCTCTGATTCTTCGACGATCAACGAGGACCAAATTAATGTCAAGAACAGGACCGATAAAATACAAGACGTAGTGAAATCCGTGAGTAAGCAATATTTGAAAAAAAAAATTCACTCGAATCTATTCGAATTTCTTCTCCTTGATGTGTCATTTATTTTCCAATTAGATCTTATTTCGAATGAAATCATTTTGTTAATAATTATTTAAATGATCGCGAATTATTTATTATTTCAAAATATTCCAAAATATTACAATAGAAATTTTGGAATGAATTTAATCGAAAACAAATTGTTTCTATGTTAGGCTCGAAACTTGTCAACCCATTCACCTTTACGTGATAAATTACAAAATAACTCTTAGAATTGTGAAAGTATTATTTTATTATCACAGATTAATATAACAAAATAAGGTAAAAGACTGGAGTGATAAATAGATTAAATAAATAAAATAAACTTAACTAAAAATAACTAAAACTTATCAATTGTATTTGAAAAGGGTTTAGATGTGTCGGAGAAGAGGGAACAACTTGGCCAGGTAATACGTAATATGTCGTCGCGACGAAAGTTACTCATGGCAAGATTAATTTCAAAGAGAATAAACGATAACGAGACAAGGACGTCTTCTCCAATCGAGAAGGACCAATCTCTCTTCTCCTTTGAGGAGGATAACAGCAGGAGGAACGCTTCGAGAGAGTTAATGTTGCCTATCAGTGCGGACATCGCAAGGATCATTTCCGACGACATTTCTGGAGACGAGATGGAAGAAGAGGAAGAAGAGGAAGAAGAAGAAGAAGAAGAGGAACAAGAAAAGGAAGGAGAGGAGGGAAAAAAGGAGAATGAGAAGGATAAGAAAAAGGAGAACAAGGATGAGAATAATGAAAAAAAAGATGACGGGAAGGAAACAGCTGAGGAATTGCCAAAGGTAATTTTAACTTTCTTAATTAACACGATATAGATAATAATCCTTACGAAATCACAAACCTTCTTTTTTCTTTTTAAATATGTGAATCTTCACAACTTTTTACGTCCACGAAGGTGGACGAAATAGACTTTCAGAAATTATTTGATACCTCGTCCATCATTTGTTCGCAATTACGAAAGAAGCCGTAAAACGTTTTTCAAACGTTTACGAAAAAAAAAAACAAAGAAATAAATAACATCTTTAATTATATTCTAGAGAATAAATTATTTTAATTGTGTGGTTAGATCGTATCAATGCTAGAATCAAAGAGAATTAACACATTTCTCCGAGATAGTGTTTCGAGCACGCACTTTCACAAGTTTGCATTTGCCGCGTATAATCGCAATGGCTCGTAAAACTTTTCAAAAGGATAATTGAAGAGAAATATATTTGAAAAAAAAAATACGAACCAAATCTATTAACGTTCTTATTTTTAGATCATTTTTTCTGATGAAGGAAAATATTTAAATGATGCACGAGAGATGATACGAAAGTGCAATTGTCAGTATACAATCGTGGAATATCACAATATTCGAAGATCTCTAAATATAAAGCATAAATAATGTTAATGATGATGATGCCTTATTTATATTATTTGTTTGTTTATTATTTGTATAATTTGATTGTATTTTTTTTCAAGGCAGAAGAATTGCGATCGGCAAGACCTGCTCCAAGGAGAAGACCCTTTTATCGAATGCCGCCGCCTGTGGCAAGTCTCCCACCAAGAAGACCGGCTTCCTTCAATAGAAGAAACGTTTATACAGGTCGGTCTATTCTTTTTACATTGTGAGCTAAAGAAAAAAAAGAAATAGAAGTCTCGTGAATGTCGTCATTTCCTTGCCACGATTACTCAGAGGAGATAAGGAAAATCGGATCTTTCGCTTTTGCAGATCCGCAGAGAACATCTCCATTGAGACCATCGAGAAAACCAACCGAGCCAAAGAGGGCTCCCACGGAAAAGGAATGTACTTTTTTCTCGAAAACTGTATGCCTGGAAGCTACAGATTATCCACAGTAAGTACGATCGTTTCGTTTATTTCGCTTCCACAATCTGGTAAGAAAAAAATTATCACAAAAACTCATATTTTCTTGCAGTTATTTTACACAATACGTTTAAACTTATAAATGTATATAAAGTATACTACATAAATAGAACAAAGTTTTCTATATATAATTTTATATATTTAATTTTATGATTTATTTTATATTATTATTATTTATATTATAGAATTAATCATAAAATATAAATGTGTGATGTGAAATTGATTTCTTCCATTTTCCATTATCATTAGCCACGTATATAAATATCACAAATGTGTAAAATTTAATATTTTATCATCCAAGCACTTGATCAATACTTGACTTCTTATGTTTAAAATAAATTTTCTTAATAATTAACTTTAACACTATTAAATAATAACAATTTTTATAGCCGTTAAATAATAAATTATATAATAATGATAATATCGACAATACGCGTGATAAAAAACAATAAGATTTACTTTTATTTATTATAATTTTATATGTTCTTACTTATAGCGAAGCAATAACGAGAAGTTTGAGAAGTAACAAAGACATGGTGGCAGCTTTGTTATCCGATTATAAAATACAAGAGGGAAGATTCGATGAGCATGCTTCCAATCTGTTTAAAAATCGATACGAGAATCGCTATGAAAATCGTTACGAGAATCGATACGAGAATAATGAAATTAAAAGGTATGATATTTGAATAATCTTCTGAGAAATTTAATCGCATGACGTATCTCTACTCTCTAAAAACTTCATCGCGTTTTCTTAACACGTTCTACTTTTCATCAGTAAATCTGTTGCATCGTAAAATAATTTAACATAAAACGGTAATCTCTAACAAGCACAATGATGTATTTATTATGATGAATAGAAATCTAAAGACACGGAAGGATTGATAAAGAAAAAAAAAAAAAAGAAAACCATTTTCCTAACCGAGTGAGAACGATATTTTGTTTTCTTCGGAGTATATATTTCGCATCGTTTAATTAACTTTCACCTTTAATGAATGTGTAATCCAACATATGAAAGAATATACACGACCGATTTTAAAATTGCGTAAATACAAGAATAAGTATACGACTGATACAAAAAATTTCATTTTTATTTAGATCTGACAATCCATTTGACAACGTCGAAGAAGGATTCACCTGTCCATCTACAGTTAAATATGCACGTCCACAATTGGCCAGAGCAGCTTCTGGAATTTGGAAATACATAATAAATACTGGAGAGCATACACAAACGTTACGTCTTGAAAAGTGTTCGTAAGTATCGTTCTAAAAACAAAATAATTAAGTAAACAGTCACAAAATGGATTAAAATGATAAAAAGATAATATCTCATGTTTTTATACAGAAATACTCGAGACAGTTGTTCCTTCATCTCAGAAAACTATCGATCGTCATGCGTACAAGTTTACAACTATCATCGATTGTTAACATGGGATTCGAAATTAGGTCTTCATATGGATATTTTTAAGGTGCCTACATGTTGTAGTTGTCACGTGCATGGTTATTCAGAAATATTTCCACCTCATGAAAAAGATCCACCACCTAAACCCAAAGAAAAGTTCCCCGGTGCTGAATTTATTACCAATAACGAGCCAAACGACGAGTATCAGGAATTGAGTAAACCCAACCACAACTATGTCGGCAAATACAACAATCCAGTACTAAGCTACGATTCAAATATTGGTATATTTAATAAAAATTCATTAACACTAACAAGATATTACGATGAATATGATCAAAACAAGCATTTTCCAGCACTATCTAGTAACAAAAGGCCAGTGATCGAGAGTTCGTCAACCAGTCGACCCAGTTTCACAATTCCTGGAAGAACCAGACCAAAAATACCCTCATCTATTCACAGACCCTTTGATAAATTACCTCAACAACATGCACCCAATACGAGAGCCCCTGGATACATTGGACCACTAAACAAGGGACCTTCTAGGCCTTCTAGACACAGACCACCGTTCAGAAGGGAGTCTAATAATCAAATGGAGGAATCTGTTGATAATCCTAACAATAGCTCGTTCACCAGGTCAGTTTTCTCATTACAGATGAAACTATCGAATTGTCTTGAAAATTTGTACAAATTAGCAATTTAACTTTATTAAATACATGCGAATTTCTCTCTCATTTTCTTAGTTTCTAAGAAATTTTATTTCTGTGTTATTTCGTAAATTGTAGTGTTGGATGCTCACAATAAATCTTTTGATTCTCATCATCTGTTTTAGAAAGTCTTCTAAAGTGTTTTGAATTTGTAAGATTCAAAATTGATGAGGTCTCAACTTTGTAATTTATTTTCTAACAATAATTTTAATTAAATCATTATTTTCATAAACACAACATAAATCTTGTACAATATTAATTAATTGTTGATATCGTGAAAACGTGTGGGAACTATCACGAATTTGTTGGACAATCGAATATATACCAAATGATTAAACTTTTTTTTTGCAGATATAGTCAACCATTCGACCAAGATATAAACGCTTCTACTAGATTACAAAACGGTGGATTCGGTGACGAAGAATTTCAAGAACCCCAAAGACGAATTAATTATAATTATCATCCAATCTTAGATTTCTTTAAACCGGAAGCATCGATGTTACAATCTTCGGAGATCAAATTCCCATTGCAATTATCCGATGTTCCAAACGATTCGACGAACTCTTGGAAACCAATGTTAACGTCCTAGAATATCTCATTATCTTATATCAGTACCTGACGCATCGTTTTTTCGCAAAGAATTGTAATTATTTCTTCATTTATTTGTGTTATTTATCGAAATTCATGATCGATCCGAACGATCGTGTATTATATAAAGAGTACTTAGACATATAAATTGTACTAAAAGAGAAAAAACAGATAAATTTCATATTATGTGTACATATGTATGTAAATCAAATATACAAGGTGTCTTGTAACTAATGGTACAAACAAGTAAGGAAATAATTCTACATGAAAAAAACTACGCCAAAAATATTGTCAGTATGATGATATATCTTGTATCAGTTCTAATTTTATACTTATCGAACAAAGTTTTTAATTTTCAAAATTACAAACTCAATCGAGTATATGCGTACTCAATAAATTTTCAAACTTATTTTTATCTCGAAAATGAACAAATTCAATTCTACATTATATCAAATTAGTTTTTTCATGTAAGATCACCCTCTCGTCGCTTGTACCTCAAATTACAGGACACCCTGTATATATATTTATGCGATAACGAATATGAATTAACGACGAATTCGAGTTAAAATATCAGAATACGGTATTATATTCTCGTCCGCATTAATCTTTTATTAAAGATCACGAAAGTCGACCTAGATAAATGATCGAGTTTTTTCGTGACCGTTATTTTTTTATATTTATTATTATATATTTTTATATTCCCTTATTTATACATTAACTTTTAAGAAAACGAATTAAATTATCATGCAATTATACNTATATATATATATATATATATTTTTTTTTTTGGAAATAAAACTTCGAGATGAATACTCGAAAGAAACAAAAAAAAAAGATATAAAAAGAAGAAAAAAGATTGAATTTATAAGAGGACACATTCTTAGAAATATCGATGGTCGAGGACTTCTGCTCGTTAACTTTGAAATAAGGTTAAAGTAATTTTTATTTCGCTCGAATAAAAAGAAGAAGCCAATCTCTCTCTCTCTCTCTCCCCCCCTTTATGAAGAGAGAGAAAAAAAGAAGCTATCGAAATATTTGAAATATCGTGAGAGATCAAATAAGAAAAAATGTGCGAAATGATTTAGTTCACTCGGTCGTCCGTGAATCGTTTGTCTCTCGGCAAAACTTATTATCCCGCTCATTACCGCGTCGATTCGCAAAGCGTGACGATTCCACGCCGGATGCTTTTCAACTTTCTTCCTTCGACCGAAACTTACAAAGAACTAACGAACGTTCCCAGTTGAAGATAAAAGTTCGTAGCCCTTTGAATCGTATGGTATAAACGCATTAACGCGTGGTGTCTCATTTTAAATAACAAAATATCCTTTCATCTTATATATTGCTTTTATACACTAAATATTTTTCATCCAAATTTCTAAGTTATTTTTCATTTCTAGGATATTACATTATTCTTTTTAATTTTATATTAAGGTGCTATCAAATGACTTATATATTTTTTCATAGATACTTCATCGAGTGTTACGACACGTATTAATATAAATTAATATTACACACAATGTATATCTTACTATTTAATATTATATTTTTATTTCATTTTCTCTTTCTAATAATATTAATATTGTACTAATATTAGTATATAATATACGAGAGTTGGTCGATAAGTTTTAAGGACTTAGATTCGTCCAGCAGTGCCAAAAAATGCGCTAAAAGAAAAAAGAATTCGGAAAATTTAGCAATTTATGGCAGTTTGAAAACAAGTATGCGTTTTACGTCATAAATTTTATACTTTAATTATTTTTATAAAGTTTTAAAAAATTAAAGTATCCAAAATCCGACTCGACAACTATAGAGAAAACGATTTCGAATATTTAAAAAGAAATCGCATTAAAAAATACTAAAAACTGTATGAGTTATCATGCCGACCATGGTGGAAAAAGTAGTTTTGAGAAAAACGCGTTTAAAGTTTTAAGTGTCTCCAATAAAAGACAGCTATCTGTGTGCACTAAACTCTCGTCGGGCAGTCACATTTTCTATCATAACTTTTGATCTATGGGGAATTTTTATTTTTTCATAAAATAAATATGAGTCTGAGCGATAAAAAATGTATTCTATGTTAAACTTAAAACTTGTTAATTTATACGCGTATGTTATGTTATATTATATTACGGTTTATAATGTAATATAATAATATATAAAATAATATACAAAATATATATAATATATTTTTTTATAATAATAAAGCTTTCTATATAATATTGCTTTGTATTTAGCGTTTTGCATTTTTTGTATCTGATAATTGTGGTCGTGCCGTGCCGTGCCGTGCCGTGGCATACTCTGCTATGCTCTATATTATATTATACTTTTCTTATTATATATTACTATATTATTATTATACTAAAATATATATACTTATATATATAAAAAATCTTTAACAACACATTTTGTAAATTAAAAATACAAAAAAATGTATTCCTTTTCCGTTAGATTTTATTCTTGTAAATAGTAAAACACAAATTTGCTTTAATATTGTAAAATAATTCTTTTAAAAATGTATTAAGAAATATCTACAAGAAAATTAATTGCAAGTCACTAATAATCAGTATTCAACACACGTTAATATTATACATGAAATAATATGACTATATAATGCATGTGGTACGTTGCATTCTATAGCAAGCGAACAAAACATAATCGAGAATTTCAATTACAATACTTTAGATCGAGATTTATCGTGGTAAATAAAAATAAGAGAAACGAAAGTATCCGTAAGTGGTACCGATACTATTATATTATATTTTATTCCCTTTCTAGTAATAAACTCGGAGGGTACTATCGAGAGATAGTAAAATCGAGTCGAACGTCGACGATCTGCACGCTTCGTGAATAAGGTCTCTAAAGTTAACTCTACCATTTCTCACCCTACCACTACTTTTTGTACTAAGCTAGAAAATATAAATCAGCTCAACGGGATAGTAATTTCGAACAGTACGACGGAAGATTTTGTAAGAGACGAACTAACTAACAATTGAACTTCATTGAAATAAAATATCTATTTGTGAATGGATTTTGTTTTTCGGCCACAATTTGAAGTGAAGTGAAACATTCTCGTGCATAACGTGACTTCGAATCTAAAAATAAGTTTAAATATATCCGAATTATAATGATTTATCGTGATTTATATATTAAGGAATGGATATAAAATCGATTATTTTCTTTTTATTGGTAATCTATACAATTTGTTGTAAGTCATTAGCGATCCAAATCTTTCCTAATGATGATAAAATAATTCAATCGGAAAAACTCAGAATTAAAAATGATCTCAAAGGGCATCAGACAACGACTGAAGATGCTTCTTCGATACCATCAGAATATATAGAGGAACCAGCAGATCATAAAATACCATATTCCGAACACGAAGATCCTAAAGATGTTCCAACGAAGCCTAAATTTATTGCACCTGGTGAATGGGCCAAGCCATCAAAAGATACAAATATTTCTTTAGATTTTGTACCTACGAAAGTTTATGCCCAAGTTAGAGGAACCCATACAATTAAACGTGCACCACGAGAAGAAGCCATCAAAGAAGCTGAAACAGACGAAGAGAAATTAAATGCATTAAGATTACGAGAAGTTGTAAAAAATTCTAAGATCAACACGGTTTATACCGAAGAAGGTTACGAGGATTCTGCTTATGATCATGCTGGACACATCAGGGACGCTGATTTTCACGAAGGATTTGCTAGAAAACTTCAAAATCGATTGAAAGAGAAACATGAAAAGGAAAAGATCAATCCGGATGAACTTGAAGATTACGAAAATGACTATAGCGATCAGGATGAAAATGACAAAGAAAATTCGCGTGAAAATTATTTGGAATCTAATTTGAATCCTAAATTGATCGTTCGAAATGAGATCGAAGTTTTAGAAAAAGATGTCGAGCGAAGCGGTGAAGAAATAGCAAATTCTTCGGATATACGATCGTTCGATTCAAAGAAATTACACAAATCTACAAATTCTGATAGTAAATTGGCAGGAAATAATAAAATTTCTAGAACTGAAAATGATAATCAGGATTTTAGACAAAATGAAGGAATTTACACTCGAAATCCAACCGATCGGGTGACATACGAAACAACCGATTATCCTGAACAAAGGATTGTCGATCGTTCGAAGGAAAATCTATCGACGAATGATTACGGTCGAACTGTTTGGGACTTTTTGAAAATGACGAAAAATGACCCACTAAATGAGCAAGAAATGACGTTAAATCATAAAGAAAGAACGACATTATCTCCTAACTTACAACTATTTACTATGATGCCATTGACTCTACCTGGACCATATTTAGAAGAAACGGTAACTTTACCTTCCATTTACTCAGTTTCTCAGACCTTTCTTCCGCGCGGTCTCGATTCTGAAATAATTAATCCCGGACAGATCACATCGATTACTCAAAACAACGATCAAGTTTGGCCAAGACAAACTAATGGTTTTAATAATGTCGAACGCAACGATAATCCAACGATTCGCTCAGCTATCTTGGACTCGGAAAATGTTTGGAACCCCTTCACTTTAAGAACACCTGATCGTTCTTCCTTAAATAATTATGATGAGTACGTTTTAAAAAACACATCAACCGAATCTGCGACAACAATTTTACCAAAAGAAAATCAAACAGAAAATTTGCATCTGAATGGAATTCAAATGAATGATAACCATAACAATTCTTTCTCGAATCTTAAAACCGATCGAAAGAAAACAAAATACAAAATTTCGGTAAGACACAAGCCACGTAAATTAACGAAGACATCTAAATCAGCTCGATCTCGAAAAGAAAAGGATGCTAACAAATATGACAGAAATTTGCATGATCAGAGAGCAAAGTACATGAAGGTTTTGAATTATGTGATGAATCAGGATCGATCTAAAGAATCTGACGATTTTACTGTCACAAGAAGACCAAATGAGGTCAAATATTTCGACTTTCGTATGGACGATCGTCCAATAGCAGGTAGCCAATTGGCTATCGTTGATCAATCA